TCTAATTGAGAAAACTGTCAGGGGAATGAATGGCACTATAATTGATGGCCAGCTTCTCAGCTTATTAGAACTTCAACAGGATGGTAGGAATTGGGCTCAAGGTGAGCCAGGAGGTATAAAAGCTAGATAGAAGTAGCTCCTTGGAGTTAGGTTCTGAAGAACTCCATATTTTTGCTGTGCAGGTATCATTTCTAAACTAAGAAAAGTTGAGCTTCAAAAACTTGAAAGAATGCAGAGGGAAAACCTGGGAAGAGATTATTTATACAGGCTCGTGCGAATGAATGTGTGGACACAGCAGACCACATCCCATCCACTGAGGAACCCATGCACATTCTCTTCTCATGTGTAGGAGCATGGGCTCTTTGGGCTTGACCTCTGAGCTTTCTGATGCCCTCTGATACACTCGAATTCTTTCTGAGATGGTTAGTTGGTATGGTGTGTGTGTGTGTGTGGTTTCAAGACCCATCCCTTCTAACAAAACTATAGCACTTTCTGTGAGCAGCAGTGTTATCTTTTGTATCTGTCTGTTCATTATCAGAATAAAGATATTCTTTCTGCACATCTTTCCTCTGCAGTGCAATCTTTAAATTGGTTAACTCACGTAATAGCTTGCTGAGAAGAATTATTTCAGATATAATTAAACTGTGGTCAGGAGTGAATGAATCAGGATGTAGGGCTTTCAGCCTGCTTGAAGAATAGCTAAGGCAGTAACGGAAGCCGGATCAATTACGTTTGTTTTTTTAGAAAGGTGGTAAGGTAGGATTCAGATGTGATCTAAAAATATGAGTACTGACTGCGGCTTTGGGACATTATCTACTTCGTTTAATCCATCTTTCATGTTCAGAAAGACTTGAATCTCAGTGAACCTAAACAAGCCAAATTCCTTGTTAGTCGTAGGGGTACGGTTGAGTGGGAACTGAGCCTTATGTTTCATAACATTTATTTTAGCTCTTGTCATTTTCTATTTTCTGTTCTCTTTTCTTTTAGGCTAACGATTCATGCCGAGTGCCCCATGCATTTGGAAGATTTTCCCATGGATGTGCATGCTTGCCCACTGAAGTTTGGAAGCTGTATGTATTTTCTCAGTTTTATTTGCTTGATCTGCTACCAAAAGAAATCAACATATTCTATTTTACCCCCTAGGAGTTTCTCACACTAAGGCCTATGCCTCTGGTTGGTGTGGAAGTGAGCAAAGAGAATGGGGAGAAGAAGTACTTCCTGGTCAGGAGGAAGAGGCTTTTAAGTTTTCTTCTGAAGCCTTTAACAGTTTTCTTTTGAAACAGTAAATGTTATTTTGCCATTTCAGAATAATTTCTGTGTCATTAGATTAAAGCATCAACATCTGTTTGCTAATTTTCCCAGAGGACAGAGCAGGCTAGAACTGATATACAGTACAGCAGCAGTTTCTGAAAGACAAGATCACTCAGAGACTATATTTATACGTATTTCTAAATGTCCATTCCTCCTGTACCTTGATATCTGTCTGTCTTGTTTTCAACAGTAAATAGTACAGAGGAAGCCACTGAAGATTTGCTCACTTTTTAGAATATTGCCTTTCCCAGTAGCTGTAAATTTTACAGAGAAAAGAGTAAACACACGGTCTGTTTTCAAATGAATTAGAAAAGTCAAAATTGAATGGAGTTTGAAAGTGTTTCTGAACCTCAAAATTTCAGAGTAAGTTATGTAGCAAGTCATCAGAGTAATATACCAAAATATGTGTGGTCCTGTCTATATTAGATTTACTTCTGTGTTTTGAATTAGAAAGAGCATTGGAAAAACTGCAATAATTACGTGTGACATATTTTTCATTCAGTTATTTGTCAGATATTTACAGTTTGTCTCCTGTGTGCCAGCCTCCATTCTAGGAGTGGGAGTGCATCCATGAGAAAAACAAAATCTGCTGGTCATGTGGAGCTTTTATTAGAGAGGACAGTGATAGTGGAACGTCAAATAAATAATGAATAAAAAGGAAAGTGTGAAGTAGGTTACAAAGTGAGAAGAACCCTGGGAAAACAGAAAAGTACTGTGGAATAAGGAGAACCAGTCATGCCCAGGTGGAGGATACTGTTATCATTGAAACTGAAAATAAACTGATCAGGATTACCCCATGTTATCAGAAAATAAGGTAGATGTGGGAGACTAGGGAGAGCCGGATAGCAAGTGTCAAAACAGAATCAGGTAGGAGGAATAAGTTCTACTGCTCCACAACATGGTAAGACATTACAGTTAATAACACTTTCCTTCATGTTTCAAAACAGTTAAAAGTTTCCCCAATGGAGAAACTATAAATGTTTGAAGGTATGGAAATGCTAATTATCGTATTTACTCTGATTTCATCATCACACGTTGTGTACATGTATTGAAGCATTCCACTCTTCTTGATGAATATGTGCAATTATCATATATCAATGAAAATTTTAAAAATTAGCCAGGTGTGGTGGGACACACCTACAGTCCTAGAGCTCTGGAAGGCCCAGGGAGGGATCACAATTGCAAGCCTAGCCCAGGCAACACAGCAACTTAGGGAGCCCCTGAGTCAAAACTGTAAAATATGAAGGGTTGGGGATGTAGCTCATCTGCAGAGGCCCAGAGTTCAATCCCCAGTACTTAAAAAAAAGTTTTGAAAAAGTGACAGTTTAAAAGAAACTTTTATAAAGTAAAGGGGTTAATGATACAACTATCTAAGGGGTTAGTGTCCCAGGGAATAGGAATAGCCCAGAGAAAAGATGGTAAGATTAAGAAAAAAAAGGATCACATTTATCCAATAAACAGCAGAGTAGCCATTTCCCAGGGTGAGTAAGGGGAAAACACTGGGAAGGGATGAGATTAAAAGGGGTCCGGATCACCTAGAGTCTTGCGGGCTATGAGAGGAGTTTGGTTTAGATGCTGAAGAGAAATGGGGAGAGATCGGGGTATTTTGGATGAAGAGTGTCACTGTCGGACTTCTGTTTAAAAAATAAAAACAACTACTGCCAAGGGTGGTAGCTCAGGGAGGAGGATCATTGTGAGTTTGAGGCCAGCCTGGGCTACAAAGCGAGCTCAAGGCCAGCCTGAACTGCATAACAAGACCTTGTCTCAAAAAGACAATAAGTAAATAAATAAACAACTAAGATTTAAGAATCCTATATGTAGGGAGATGGTAGGGGCAGAGTCCAGTGAAGTGGTTGCTGCGGCATTTCACATGAGATATGTGATGGAGAGATGATGAGCATAGGGAAATATTTCAGATAACGGTTGATGATGGCTCTGCTCACCATGACAGAAGTAAATGTCATGAGAAGCCTGATTCTGTCCCCTGACAGATTAGATGTACAACACTGTAACTGAGAGAACTTGGTGGTGACCTGCAGATTTTTGTCTGAATGGATTTGCTATCAAACGAGATGAATATTGCTTCCATTCTGGGTAGGACAAAATTATTGGTGGTCACTGCTCCCATTATAAACAACAAAGAGCCCAAGAACTGTAGAGACAGTAAGGATTAAGGAGACCAAACACCTGAAATAGGGTGGGGGACTCTCTTAGATTAACCTGTGGTCTGTGGCGTTCTGGCCCAGGTTTGCGGCTTGCATTTAAGTTTGTCTCTATGACCAGAGCATGAGATCAAAAACCAATATGAAAACTACATGCAAACACCAGGTTGGATAAATATTTAAAAAAAATTCTGATTCCAAAACTTACATGTAAATATTAAAGTGTCTTGCCGGGCGTGGTGGTGCACACCTGTCATCCCAGCACTTGGGAAGCTGAAGCAGGAGGATTGCTGAGACTTCGAGGCCAGACTGGGCTACAAAGTGAGCTCAAGGCCAGCCTGAACTGCATAGCAAAACCCTGTCTCAAACAAACAAAATAAAACAAGACAAAATTCAAGTACCAAGAACAGTTAAGACAATCATGAAGAAAAGTAAAGCTGGAGAATTTCCTACCAAATCTGATTCACTACCATTTATGTTTATTAATTATCTTATGTGTTTTATACGTTTTTGGCCTGCTAGTCTGGCTGTGAATCTATATAAATGAAACTAACTTCTGATGCTGGAAAAGGGGAAGAGGAGAGGGAAAGGAAAAGAATTCATATGTGTGATGTATATGTACTAATTCTGCACAGTGAATGGAATCATTATGTGCTGGAAACATGGACTAATAAAAAGAAAAATTTTAGAAAGTAAAAAAAAGCTATAGTAATGCAGATAACGTCTGTTGATGGGACAAAATAAAAATGAGAGAGAGAGAGAAACAGAGAGAGATCGATCTTGGCTCATCATACATCATATGCAAAAATAAATCCCATATGGACTCTAGAACTAAATGTGAAAAGGTTACAGTAGAGCTTTCAGAATAAGACATAAAAGAGAAACTTCAGGGCTGGGGATTTAGCTCAGCAGCAAAAGCGCCTGCCAGGCAAGCGCAAGGTCGTGAGTTCGGTTCCCGGTACCGGAGAAAAACCAAAAAAAAAAAAAAAGAGCAACTTCAGAATCTTGAAAGAAGTATACCTCATTTAAATGGGACATATAATAGAACTAACCACAAAAATGAAAGAGAAAAAATTAGAACACATTAAAATGAAGGAATTTCCTTTATCAAAAGATAAGGCAAGCCACGGGGTGGGAGAAAATACTCATATTGCTTCAATAGAAAAATTGCCAAAGTCTTTTTAATTATTTTTATTTTAAAGAAAAGAAAAATAAACAATAAAAACAATGGTATAAAATTTCAAAACAAGATTGTAAGAGAGCAGCAATGTTCAGTACATTGCGTACTGTCATCTTCAAAGTAGTTGCTCATAATACAAGATATAGGCATGAAAAATCGATCAAGAAGTATAGGCATATAACTTTCCTTTCAATGAGCTAATAGCTATTAGCAGTATATCTACCTTAACTATCGTTTTTTGGGTATATATATATAATCTCTTTCCTTTCCCCTTCCTTCTTTTCTCCTTTCCCCCATTCTAGTCACTCTTTACTTTTCAGCATTTTCTTCCCATTCACAGTATCTATTGTATATTTTGAGCCTTTTTTGCTCTTTCAGCTTTTTACACTAGGGGGACAATATGATGTTTACACATGTGAGACTGATTTATTTTACTTATAAGTATGGACTCAGGTCACACCCATTTCCCTATAAACATCTCAAGCTTATCCTTCTTTATAACTGAGTAGTACTCCATTGTATGAAAGTACCACATCCTTTTTATTCCATTCCTCAGTTGATGGGTATTTAGGTTGTTTCCAAGATTTTGTTTTGACAAATTCTGCTGCTATAACATGGGTGCATATATATCGCTGTGGTATGATGTTTTTAATTCTTCTGGGAAGATACCCACAAGGGGAATAATTGGGTTAAATGGGACCTCTAATCATAGTTTTTTTCAGGAATCTCCACACTGATTTCTAAAGTGGTTGCAGTAGTCTACCTTGCCACCAACAGTAGAGAAGGGTTCTTTTTCCTCCACAGTCCGTCCAGCATCTATTGTTGCTTGATTTCTTGATGATAGCCATTCTTATTGGGGTGAGATGAAATCTCTGTGCTGTTTTAATTTTCATCTCTTGAATGACCAATGATGTTGAACATTTTTCGTGTATTTATTTGCCGTTAGTATTTCTTCATCTGAGAAGTTCATATTCATCTCAGATGTCTATTTTTTGATTGGGACTTTGAATTTGTGGGGATCTGATTTTTTTGAATTCTTTATATGTTCTAGATATAAGTCCTTTGTGTGAAGAACAGTTAGCTGAAATGTTTTCCCACTCTGTGGGTTGTCTTTTCACTCTATTGGTGATTTGGATGAGATCCCACTTGTTGATTCTTTAAAATGTTTCCCATGCAGTAGAATAGCAAAAGGCAATCTTGGGCAACAAAGGCAAGGCAGGAGGCATCACAGTCCCTGACTTGAAATTATACTACAAAGCTACTGTGATAAAATCAGCATGGTACTGGCAAAAAAAATAGACCTGAGGATCAGTGGAACAGATTAGCCGATACGGACAAAACTATAAACATACTCAGCCATCTTACCTTTGTCAAAGTCTTGAACAGTGTCTTAGTTACTTTTCTCATTGCAGATACA